TCTCTGCAGGCTCTAACAAGGGCATCACATAAAATTCCCAAGTACACTACTGCACTGAGTATCACCAAGTGAAATTTATGTAAGTTTTAACTTCCTTTAACAAAATATCAATAATGGGGACTTGTAACTCTAAAACCCAAATGTCTCTGCCTTTGAAAGAAGGGAATTTTTTTTAAAAGATTCATTTATTTATTTGAAAGGCAGAGTTACAGAGAGGCAGAGGCAGAGAGAGACAGAAAGAGAGGTCTTCCATTCTCTGGTTCACTCCCCAGATGGCCAAAACTGCTGAAGCTGGGCTGATTTGAAGCCAGGAGCCAGGAGCTTCTTCTGGGTCTCCCACGTGGGCGTAGGGGCCCAAGCACTTGGGCCATCTTCTACTGCTTTCCCAGGCCACAGCAGAGAGCCGGATCGGAACTGGAGCAGCTGGAACTTGAACCGGCACCCATATCTGATGCCAGCACTGAAGGCAGTGACTTTACCTGCTATGCCACAGTGCCGGCCCTCTATTTGACTTTGGAGAGTATGAGGACTCCTTAACCTTCCTGCTAGGGGCACTCAAGAAGAGCAGAGGACTCCAGAGTTCGCTTCCCTTCCTCTCTTATATTTCTTCACTTTCATTTTATTGAAAAGTTCATTTTCAGGTTTGTCAGTGAGCTCCTGAATGTAAACATGGTTTCTCTAATCAGGGCATTTGCTTAGCAAAGTGCCTTTTCTTCTTCTTCTTCTTCTTCTTCTTCTTCTTCTTCTTCTTCTTCTTCTTCTTCTTCTTCTTCTTCTTTAATCATAGCATCTCTCAGACTAATAAAGTGATAGGTTTTTAGGAATTCCTGAACTTTCCAACCTGCCACATCTAAAGAGGCCGTTTAAAAGGAACAAATCTGGAAAGAGACCCAATATAGGTGGTGTCCAGGGAGCAAGAAGGGAAATAAACCTCTCTAAGGGTTAAAAAAAAATGTAAGTCCAAAACAGAAGAGAGAGGGAACAGGACAGGCATAGGGAGGAAAGGCTTCCGACTACCTGCACAACCGTGTGGAGCAAATTGACTTTGTTAGCATATAATTATGGCTATCAACAGTTATGTTCTCATTATAATCTGTCAGTGATATTCAGCTTTTACTTTCTTCCCTTCACCCCATACTTGGCTTTTATTATTCACATAATGCAATAGAGCATCAGTGCTGATTTTGTGCAATACAAGCAACACATAGATATGAACTCTCTGTACACATCTGTGATCCAACTCAAAGCTAAGGGACATAAAATTGAAAGCCAAGCTAAATGATTTAAGAATGAAAGCAAAAACGAGGATTGAGCACTGCAAGAAATCAGAAGCAGTGCCTCATGTTCACACCAGTTACACATGGAAATACCACCACCACAACAGTGATCGAATTCTGACTCATATACTCATTTAAAAAAAATCTCAAAAAACACGTTTCATGCATTATAACCCTTCCATTATAGCACAGAAATGACATTACAAGACAAGCATAAGTGAGGTGAACGGTCTTTTCTAGTCGTTGTTGTATGATGCTGCAGATAATGTAGCCCTGGAACACTGGGGTCCTGCACATTAGCGCAGCTAATAGGATAAAACAGTCCTCTGCAAGGGGTGCTGGACACCTGAAGAAATCTGCTGCAGCCACACTGGTTACATTTTCCACACAGATGAGTACAGCTACAATTAGATCTAAGTTTCTAAAAAGCTTTGCAATCTTTCTTGTACCAAAAAATTCAACAAAAGATACAAGTGAAAACTTGACCATACCTTCCCAGAGCTGCTGTTGTGTCAAAATCCAATAGAGTTTTAATTTCTTAATTTTGATTGTAAACGAATTAATCCTAGTGCACATCCAGGCTACCTGTTTTTAGCAATCAGAACACAAGACATCTTCAGGGGAGAGCCAGTGCAATTAGCTTCCAAGCTTATCTCAAGACACTGTCGTTGGCTGATGTTTTTATCCATAACCAGTTGTGATGTTTAGCTTTCACACAATGCCTGGATAGCTCTTAGAAGACCAATCCAACCATATGGCATTTGGAACCAAATGCTAGTTTCACAGAAAGGAAGGTCTGATCTTCTTTATGGTTTTCTTCTGGCTTAAAAAAAAACATGTGGGAATGTTGAAGTTTAACTATGGAAGAAGTAGCTTGCCTGTCCTTCTTTGGTGTGCCATTTACAAAAAACACAGGCGTAAAACACTCACCAAAGGTTAGACCTTGATTGCATTCCTGAAAGGCAGATATGCTGCAAACATGCAGAGGCCTCATTTATTTTGCTTGACGTTTGATAACTAATCTTGTCTCCATTATTTGTGTACACCGATTACTGTGCAGGTTTTCATCCACTTTTATTCAGAGGAGGGCATATACACTCTGTAGGGCTGTATCTATCCAACTATGCCCATAAAAAACACTCAAACATCCTAAAATATCAAATATAACACAGAAAAGTGCACCGTTAACCTCTGGAGAACAACACAAAAAAATGGCATGCACTTGGCTTTTCATGTTTCCCTGATACATCAAAACACAAATGAATCTTCTGTCCTTCACAAGTAGTAACATATTCCCTGGATTTTCTCAGGATTCTTTTCTGACTCTTGCTGCAGTTTCTGCTGCGTAATCATGTGCACAGTTGTATTTGTCAGCATAACAGTGAAATCCACAAAATAGATTTGTATATGGGCAAACTCTGCAAGGCCAACCAAATGTTGGTTAGCTTTGCTTACTTTAACTAAAACACTGAAGAGGAAGTCCTTAGGAAGAAGAGGGTTGATTTTTTAATTTTTTTTAAACTTTTACTTAATGAATATAAGTTTCCAAAGCATATCTTATGGATTACAATGGCTTTTCCCCCCTATAACTTCCCTCCCACCCGCAACCCTCCCATCTCCCGCTCCCTCTCCCATTCCATTCACATCAAGATTCAGTTTCAATTATCTTTATATACAGAAGATCAATTTAGTATATATTAAGTAAAGATTTCAACAGTTTGCACCCACACAGAAACACAAAGTGAACAATACTGTTTGAGTACTAGTTATAGCATTAAATCACAATGTACAGCACATTAAGGACAGAGATCCTACATGAGGACATGAGGAGTAAGTGCACAGTGACTCCTGTTGTTGACTTAACAAATTGACACTCTTGTTTATGGCATCAGTAATCACCCTAGGCTCTTGTCATGAGTTGCCAAGGCTATGGAAGCCTTCTGAGTTTACCGACTCTGATCATATTTAGACAAGGTCATAGTCAAAGTGGAATTTTCACCTCCCTTCAGAGAAAGGTACCTCCTTCTTTGATGACCTGTTCTTTCTAGCCATTCTATGAGTCTGCTGTGTATGAGCGTTGATTTTTGACTTAAGGTTTGGATGTTGTTGACCAAGACAGAATGGCCCCATAGGTTCAAGCACCTGATGAGGAGGATGGCGAATGGAGGGATGATCTCAAGGCAAACCAGGAAGCAGACATAGGGATAATATATGTATGTGTCTCCCTTTATACAGCCCTATGATTTGTTCATAGGGGCACCTCCTTAACAACCTCCAGCATCCTCCAAGCTATGACACCACATGCAACAGTGTCTATTTTTGCTGTTATCTTGAAGCACCCATTGTTGCATATGAGATGGGAGGGTTGGATGTGAGCAAAGAAGACTCAGCCATCGCCCTGCGTGGCATAGAGCCTCAGAATTTCCAAAGCACTGTTCCTTGTGTTTTAAAAATTTTACTTATTGGTAAGGGAGAGACATTGAAAGAGAGAGATCGCACTGATCTGTTGATTTACTCCCCAAATGCCTCTGGGAACTCAATATTGGTTTCCTACATTGGTGGCAGGGACTCAACCACTTATGCTATCAACTGCTGCCTCCCAAGGCAGGTATTGCAGGAAGCTATAAGCAGGACAGGAGCTGGGACTCCACCTTGAAAGGCTGCAGATCACCCAGGGTAATTCCGACCACTTGCAGATGAGGACACGACAGCAGACAGAGGTTTAGTTTCAGGTGGCCCAGCTCACTGGTGACCAGGTAAGGACCAGGATTCTGTCTTGTGCAGGCCTGTATCTGTGTTCGTCTCAGGACTCAATGAAGTCTTGTGACAGAAACCAAGGAGTTCCAATTCTGAGCCAACACTTTAATGCAAACAGGGCCTCCTCTTTGCTGCTGTTAGCAAATCTTTGTTGCTGCTGTTGTTTGTCTTGCAAGGTCATCCATGAAGCCATTATATTAACTCCTGGTTCATATCTCAAAATGCCAGAGGCAGAATACATTGAAACCTTGACATGTATAGCTTTTTGTTTGCCTTAAGTTGCGAGCTACAGCATTACTAAAGTAGGAACAGTGCAAAAACAGTTGTGCACAATTTAAAGACTAATTATAGGCCGGTGCCGTGGCTCACTAGGCTAATCCTCTGCCTTGTGGCACCGGCACACTGGGTTCTAGTCCCAGTCGGGGCGCCGGATTCTGTCCCGGTTGCCCCTCTTCCAGGCCAGCTCTCTGTTGTGGCCCGGGAGTGCAGTGGAGGATGGCCCAAGTGTTTGGGCCCTGCACCCCATGGGAGACCAGGATAAGTACTTGGCTCCTGCCATTGGATCAGCGCGGTGCGCCAGCCGCAGCATGCCGGCTGCGGCGGCCATTGGAGGGTGAACCAACGGCAAAAGGAAGACCTTTCTCTCTCTCTCTCTCTCTCACTGTCCACTCTGTCAAAAAAAAGACTAATTATAAAGACTAATTCAGCTCAAGAAAGAGGACTTTGTTGGCCTCTCAGAAGCCCTGAATTCCCTTCCTCAATCACAGTGCCCATTCTTCTCATCAGAGGTAACACCATCCTTCTTCGATAATAATTACTTTCTCTTTTTTTTTTTCCAGTTTTACATCATGTGTATGCATCCCTAAACAATAGTTTTTGCATATCTGTTTTAGAATTGCTTTAAATGGAGACATACTGTATGGTGTGTATTGTTATTTAAATATATTTAAAATTTTTGCCTTTTAGGAAACCCTGAACCAGGAGTCATGGCAGCCAAACCCAAGCTCTACTACTTTAATGGCAGGGGCCGGATGGAGTCGATCCGCTGGCTGCTGGCTGCAGCAGGAGTGGAGGTTGGTTCCTGATTGGGAAAAGGAAGGAGGATATTTTAGGTTGGATCAAAGTGGTCTCCTTTTCCCCTCAAAATTATGGTGGTGCCTCCAGGCTGCGTCTACTCTTTCCTTTTCTAGCAGCCTTCCTGTGTAGGGGATGAGGGAGGGAAGGATTGTAGTTCTGGGGCCCAGAGGTGGAAGAGACATTAGGGAGAAGTTGGAGGGGCTGAGAGGTGTCCTGGGAGCTCCACAGGGCTGAAAGACCTTGGTGGATCTACAGAGAGAGAAGGGAGACCCACATTGGACTTGGTTTCTCCATTAGGATCAGCTGATTTTCTGGGTCTTTGCAGTTCCCCCTGCACACCTGAGTCACGGCTGTCAGCTGGAACCTTGGGCCTAGCTGCAGTCCTCTCTCTCCTTGTGCCCTCCCCCACAAGGCCTGCACTATAAATTCCCTCCCCACTGACTCTTCCATAGGCTTCCACAAATGCTTTGGGATTGTTCTGTTTCAGGCATGTGTAGACTTCCTTTTCACTGTTTGAATGTCATCTCCCACAGAGCAAGGACTTATTTCTTTGGTTTTGGCTTTTTCCTTTTGAAGCCTTCTCCCCTACACTGCTCATCTTACCACTTGCTTCAAGATTTGGGGGACAAAAAGGACTCTCACAAAAGGTTTGGAAACACACCAACGATAACTTTTGATAACCTTGCCTGAGTCATGCTCTTCTTTTTTTTTTTATTTTTAAAGATTTATTTATTTGAAAAACAGAGTTACAGAGAGAGAGATCAAGACAGAGAGAGGTCTTCCATCTGCTGGTTCACTCCCCAAATGCCCACAACAGCCAGAGCTGAGCTGATCTGAAGCGGAGCCAGGAGCTTCTTCAGGGTTTCCTGCTGAGTGAGGGGCCTAAGTACTTGGACCATCCTCCAGTGCTTTCCCAGACACATTAGCAGTGAGCTGGATCAGATGTGGAGCAGCTGGGACTGGAACTAGCACGCATATGGGATGCTGGCACTGCAGGCCAGGGCTTTAACCCCCTGTGCCACAGCATTGACCTGAGTCTTGATCTTTTAACTTCTTCCTTTGAGTATATGAGCATCAAAGAAAAATCTGATCTGTCCTGAAATGGAAGGAGACTGACATTTAAGAGGGAGGTGAAAGAAAAGAGACAAGGGAAGAGGAGAAATCACTGGGGGAGGTATAGAGAAAGGACAAGAGTTTGGAGGGAAATGCATAGATAAGGAAAGGAGACAAGGTCTTGGGAACACTGTCTAAGCTAATCTACTCTTACCTCTGTGACAATTTTCAGCTGCATGGAAGCTGGTAGATTTGTGGTTCCTTTTAACATTTTATTCTGGAAATTTTGGGGCTTTAAAAAATGTTATTTTTAATTTTTAACAGATTCAATGTGATTTGTAGATGTAATTCTTTTTTTCTTAATTGAAAGAGTTATAGTGAGAAGGGAGAGAGAGAGAGAGAGAAAGAGAGAGAGAGAGAGAAAGGTACCTTCTGGAGCTGGGCTGATCCAAAGCAAGGAGCCAGGAGCTTCTTCCAGGCCTCCCACTGGGTGCAGGGGCCCGAGCACTTGGGCCATCTTCTGCTGCTTTTCCAAGGCACATTATCAGGGAGCTGGATCAGAAGTGAAGTGGAGCAGCTGGGATTCAAACTGGTGCCCATGTGGGATGCCAGCCCTGCAAGTGGTGATTTAACCCACTGAACTACAGTGCCAGCCCCATTGTAAATACAATTTTAAGAATATAATGAAATTCTCTCCCTCCCTCTCTCTCACTCTCCATCCTTCCCTTTTCTTTTTTTTTAATTTTTTTCAGATTAAATATTTTAAATATACATTACAGTAAAAAGGCTTAATACTTCACTGAATAAGAAATTTAAGATGGGCTGGCTCTGTGGCACAGCAGGTTAACACCCTGGCTTGAAGCGCCGGCATCCGATATGGGCACTGGTTCGAGACCTGGCTGCTCCACTTCCCATCCAGCTGTCTGCTATGGCCTGGGAAGGCAGTAGAAAATGGCCCAAGTCCTTGGGCCCCTGTACCCATGTGGGAGTCCTGGAGGAAGCTCCTGGCTCCTGGTTTTGGATGAGCACAGCTCTGGACTTTGCAGCTAGTTGGGGAGTGAACCAACAGATGGAAGACGTCTCTCTCTCTCTCTCTCTCCCTCTCCTCTCTCTTTCAAATAAATAAATAAATCATTTTTTTAAAAAAGTTGTACAAAACTATATTTGCAGCAATAATGATATACAGACTTTTTTTCTTTTTTTAAATTTTAGCTCACACATATAGGGGAGAACATGTGGTATTTGTCTTTCTGGATCCAGCTTATTTCACTCAATATGATGTCTTCCAGTTTGCATCCATTTTGCTGCAAATGGTAGAAATTTATTCTTTTCTTATAGCTGAATAATATTCCGTTATGTATATATATCACACTTTTTTTATGCATCTAATGATGGATACCTTGGTTGATTCCACATTTGGCTATTGTGAATAGTGCTGCTATAAGCAGAGTGGTGCAGGTATTTCTTTGATACATTGTGTACAAGTCTTTTGGATGTATATCTAGTAATGGGATTGCTGGATCATGTGGCAAATCTATTTCTAGTTTTCTAAGAAATCTCCACATGGTTTTCCACAGTGGCTGCACTAATTTACATTTCCACCAAAGGTGTGTAAGTGTTACCCATTGTCCACATCCTTGTCAGTGTTTGTTACTCTCTGTGTTTTGGATTTTAGCCATTCTGACAGGGGTGAGGTGATATCTTTTTGTGGGTTTGATTTGCATTTCCCTGATGTCCAGCGATGTTGAGCATTGTTTCATATATTTGTTGGCCATTTGTATTTCTTTTTTGGGGAACTGTCTATTGAAATCCTTTGCTCATTTCTTAACTGGATTGATTGTTTTTTTTTTGTTGTTGTTGTTGAATTTTTTAAGTTGCTTATATATTTGGGATATTAATTATTTGTCAGATAGGTGGTTTGCAAATTTTTTTCTCATTCTGTTGGCTATATCTTCACCCTATTGATCATTTCCTTTGCTATGCAAACTTCTGAGTTTAATATACTCCAATTTGATTAGTTTTGCTTTTGTTGGCTTCTGCTTTGATGGTCTTCTCTAATAAGTCATCCCCTACACCAATATCTTGTAGTGTTTTCCCTCCATCTCCTTCCAGCAACTTCATAGTCTCAGGTTAAGTCTTTGATCCATCTTGAGTTGATTTTTATTGTGTGCAGTGAGAGGTATAGATCTAATTTTATTCTCCTACATACATCCAGTTTTGCCAGCACCATTTGTTGAAGAGATTATTCTTACTCCACTGTATGGTCTGAATATTTTATCAAAAATCAGTTGGCTGTATGTATGAGGATTAATTTCTGGGCTCTATATTCTCTTCCATTGATCTATGTGTTTTTTTTTTTAGGCTAGTACCATGCTAGTTTGATAGTATTATTATATAGCTTTGTAGTATGCTTTCAAGTCTGATATTGTGATGCCTCCAACTTGATTTTTCTTGTTCAGGGTCACTTTGGCTATTTGATACCAAAACTAAACAAAGATGTAGCATGAAAAGAAAACTACAGATCTATACCCTTAATGAACATAGATGCAAATATTCTCAACAATATACCAACAAATTGAATCCAACACCTCATAAGATCATACATCATGATCAAATGGGATTTATCCCAGAAGTGCAAGGATGTTCAACATTTGCAAATCAATCAACATCATAAATCACGTCAATAGAATGAAGAACAAAAAATATGATCATCTCAATAGATGCAGAGGAAGCATTTGATAAGGTTCAATACCCTTCATAATGAAAATCTTCCACAAACTAGGTTTAGAGGAATATTCCTCAAAATTATAAAGGTTATATGTTATGAACTAACAGCCAATATCATTCTGAATGAGGAAAAGCTGAACGCTTTTCCCCTCAGATCTAGAACAAGACAAAGATGTCTACTTTCGTCACTCTTTTTCAATATAGTACTGGGAGTTTTAGCAAGAGTAATTAGGGAGGAGAAAGAAATAATGGGCATCAAAACTGGAAAAGAGGAAGTCGAATTATCCATGTTTGCAGATGATATGATGTTGTACATGGAAAAACCTAAACACTCCACCAAAAAGCTGTTAGAATTAATAAACCAATTCAGTAAAATTACAGGTTACAAAATAAGCATACAAAACAGTAGCTTTTTTATGCTAATGATGAACCCACAGAAAGAGAAATCAAGAAAGAAATCCCATTCACAATAGCCACACACACAAAATAAAATTTTTAGGCATAAATTTAACCAAAGAAGTGAAAGATCTTTACAATGAAAACTATTAAACATGAACTAAAGAAGTCATCAAGGACACAAAAAATGGACAGATATTCCTTGATCATGGATTGGAAGAATCCATATAATTAAAATGTCTTTACTACCTAAAGCAAAATCTACAGATTCAATGCAATTCCTATCACATTACCGATGATATTTGTTGTTAGACATTTCATGCTGTCAGCATTTCACTTTGTCTCTCTTTTTTAGGAAAATAAAATAAAATATTCTTTCCTTCTTTATCTAGTTTGAAGAAGAATTTTTGGAAACAAGAGAAGAATACGAAAAGTTGCAGAAGGGTGAGCCTAGATTATTCAATGTTATCTTATTAGAAAAATAGAAACATTTGTTTTGTTATAAAAAACACATAGCTCTAGAACAATAACTATAAAAAAAGGCAAGCACAGCCTGGCTTGTAACATTGCTTGACTGCTCACTGTGTCCCTGACATATCTAAATGTATTATCACCTTGGCCTTCACAATGCTTGTCAATATTGTTTTGCTGGTGACCTCAATGGGCATGATAGCATGAGCTGACCCATGCCGACTTGCTTGAAACTCCCCATCCCACTGGAGAATCCTTGAAGAATTACAAAATACTGATCCAGTGGATCAGAGGGAGGCAGCCATGGGAGGGGATGTCCTACATCTCATGGTCAATGTCCACTTTTCCTTACTTAACAGACACCATTGCAGCAGGTCACAGAGGAGAATCAAGGTTCTGGAAAAGATCCAAGCTTGATTACACGTCGACCATAATTATTACAATTCTCCAGAAAAATTTCTCACACTGAGAAAAATGCTTTCACAGTATTTTTAGAACTTCTTTTTAAAATTGTTTTAAAGATTTTTATTTAATTATTTGACAGGTAGAGTTAAAGACAGTGAGAGAGAGAGACAGAAAGGTTCCCCTTCTGTTGGTTCACTCCTCAAATGGCCACAATGGCCAGAGCTACGCTGATCCGAAGGCAGGAGCCAGGTGCTTCCTCCTGGTCTCCCATGCAGGTGTAGGGCCCAAGCACTTGGGCCATCCTCCTCTCCCTTCCCAGGCCACAGCAGAGAGCTGGACTGGAAGAGGAGCAACCGGGAATAGAACTTGACGCCCATATGGGATGCCGGCGCTGCAGGCGGAGGATTAACCTAATTCGCCACCGCTCTGGCCCCTATTTTTTGAACTTCTAATAGCCCTACTTTTTATTTTCTGTGCCTAAGGAAATGCAAGTGTCCTCAGTCATGAAATTAACACAAAATATTTTTTTAAAGATTTATTTATTTGATTTGAAAGGCAGAGTTACAGAGAGAGGGGGAAAGACAGAGAGAAAGAGGTCTTCCCTCCACTGGTTCACTCCCCAAACAGCCGCAACAGCCAAGGCTGGGCTAGACTGAAGCCAGGAACCTGGAGCTTCTTCCAGGTCTCCCACGTGGGTGCAGGGGCCCAAGCACTTGAATCATCTTCTGCTGATTTTCTCAGGCCATTAGCAGGCAGCTGGTTTGGAAGTGCAGCAATCGGGACACAAACCAGTGCCCATAATGGAGCCGATGTCACAGATGTCAGCTTTACTAGCTATGCCACAACACTGACCCCAAGGGCAATGCTTGGGGCAATGCTTTTTTTTTTTTTTTCCCTAATTTCAGCATTTCTTAATTTCATTGCCGGCACCGCAGGCGGAGGATTAGCCTAGTGAGCAGTGGCGTCGGCTGCAATGCTTATTTAAAAGACGTGTTTAACATTCAGTATATCTTTTTAAACATTTTATTTATGTATTCATTCTTTGAGAGGCAGAGAAAAGGGGGAGAGGGAGAGAGAGAGCAAAACAAGATCTTCCATTTACTGTTTCATTTCCCAAATGTTCTCAGGGCTGGGACTAGGCCAGGATCAAAGCCAGCACATAGGAACTATATCCAGGTCTCCCATGTAGATGTCAGGGACTCAAATATTTGAGCCATCACCTGCTGTCCCCCAGGCTCTGTGTTGCTAGGAAGCTGGAGTTAGGAGCTGGAGCCAGCTATCAAACTTTGGTTAACTCTGATGTGGGATGCTGGTGTCTTAACTGGTAGGCTAAGTGCACCCCTGTGCAAAACTCTTAATTGTTCCACCCTGATGCTGTTACTTGGGATACCCTCCTGGGCATGACTATTTTTGGACAGGAAGCAGAGTCGGACAGTAGAGAGGGCATGGGACAATGTTCAGGGGGCCCACTTCTTTGGGCTTAGCTATCCCTAGACTGTGTGAGTTTCAGCAAATCATGTCCACTTCCCTTGGCCTCTGCATTGCTCTATCTATAATATGAGGGGATTGAAATAAATGGCACCAAAGATCCTTACTTTCTCTCGTGATCTGCGATTTTTAGAAGTCCTTCTGAAGAAGGTGGTCAGATCCTAAAGCAGGCATCATTTCTACGATATTTCCACAGCAGGACAGTGCCTGGCTTTTAGATGCTTGCTCAACATGTGACGAATATAGAAAGACCTGGAGCGAGCGGACGTTTTGCAGCCCCTCCATTAATAATAATACATTTCCAAAGCATGGTCACAAGCCTGATCTTATTCCTAACTCAAAAAGACTGGGTAATTGAGAAGGGGAGATACTGTTCCAGATAAGACTCACTAAGTATCAGAGTCTCAGAGGAGTCCCAGACTTGCTTCACTCATCCAGTTAGGCAGGAACGCTCACCCTTTGGGGAACTATCACTGGCTGGATGGCCTCTCCCATCTCCTACTGCCTTTTGTTAAATCAGGTGTGAGCAGTTTTAGAAGTAGGAGAAATTAATTTCCTTGGTTCCTATATTGGATCAAGTTCCTCATTCTCAAGTATGTGCAGGTTATTTGTGAAAATTTAAACCCTACTCATTGCTTTAAGACTCCATGAAAAGAGCCCATTGTATTACATCTTTAAATTAATTGTTTACACAGGCGGCCACTTCAAAAAGAACTCACTTTACTGAACATTGATTTCCGACAATATTAAGTTTTACATATATCGTATTTCATTCTTCCAAAGTCCTATCAGACAGATATTATTGCTATTTTAGAGGAAGAAAGTTGGTGCTCAGATAAGTAATTTGTTTAGTTTCATGGTAGAATGGGCTAAAGCTGACACATGAACGCTAGTCTGCCTGGGTTCTTGCTATCATGTCCATCCTGCCATTGAGTACACCTAGAGTGATACCCAATGTGATTTTTAAAGAATTCAGACTCCCAGACTCCACCTCTGAATCAGAATACCCGAAAAATAGAGTGGATTACTTTAATTTTAATTATTTATTTATTTGAGAGGCAGAGAGACAGAACCCGCCCCCAATACACACACACAAACACACACACACACAGACAGAGTGAGAGAGAAAATCTCATCTTTTGGTTCACTCTACGTATGCCCACAATGTCCAGGACCAGGCTGGACCAAAGCTGGGAACTCAGTCCAAGTCTCCCACATGGGTGGCAGGAATCCAATTACCTGAGCCATCCCCTCTGCCTTCCAGGGTCTACATCAGCAGGAAGCTGGAGTCAGGAGCCAGAGCAGGGAATCTAACCCAGGTACTCCAATGTGGGACCAGAGTACCTTAACTGACCCACCCTAGAGTGGATGTCTTAACAATCCCTCACTCCAAGTGATTCTTATGCAGCCTAAACTTTGAGAACCAGAAACTCATATAGTATAACTTAATTACAGTACATGTGGAAAGGCTTACATAATCACGATTTATCCATACACAACAGTAAATGAAACTATCAAACAAATCTCAAATTTTAGAAGAAGTGAACGGTAGCTATTCCTCACTAGCTAGGGCCTTTAACTCCTCACTTTGGATGGAAGCTTGGAGTCATTCCATGAAATTATTAATGCACCATGCTGCAGACTTCCTGTACCCACTGCAGGAGTCTATCTACCTTAACCTCTCTTTGCTCAATCCACAGATGGGTGCCTGCTTTTCGGCCAAGTGCCTTTGGTTGAAATTGATGGGATGATGCTGACGCAGACCAGAGCTATCCTCAGCTACCTTGCTGCCAAGTACAACTTGTATGGGAAGGACCTGAAGGAGAGAGTCAGGTACTATAGTGTTTGTGCTTGTACTTGATTCTTATCCAAGCTTCCAACTGAGCCCAGTTGAAGGTGTGTAACATTCAGCTGGCACTGAGGGGAGAAGGCAAGGGCATTGCTGGGAGGACGCCCTTGACAGACCTGGAAGGCCAAGGCAGAATTCTGCATGACTACTCCAATCTCCCTCCTTTTGTGTAGTACTTGTAGAGGTCTGCATTCAGCGCTCATGTTCTCTCCCCTCTACTCACAAAATATGTTCACAGAAAATGACCTGGTAAACTATTTTACGTGAGCAAAAAAATGAGTGACTCAGCAAACAAGTATTAAGCACTGCACTACTGATCTATTTGCCCTAAATAATGCTGCATCACACTTGCAACACAGTGACCTAAGTCAGTAAGTGTGTATTAGGGCTCACCAGTCTAAGGGTCAGCTGGGTGGTTGACCTCTCTGGGCCGGGCTTGACTTCTCTCAGCTGGATTTACTCATATGTTTCTTGTCAACCAGTAGTTGGCCAGCCAGCTTTGCTTTGGGATATTGGCCCTCAGCTGAGAGACAAAGGGACCAAGTGTTCCCCAGGCTTTCATGCTGGGCTTGTTTTTGTGGCAGCTGGGCCAGGTTCTAAGGCTGAGAGCCTCTTACCTTCTGAGCTCAGGACAGGTCCCTCATCATTTCCACCTCATTCTATAGATCAGAGCAAGTTACAAGGTTAGTCTTGGAAAGAACGCCATCTATTGCTGGAAGGAGCTGCCAAGACCCATGAGAAATACTGGAAGGTGAAGGATTACAGTCACTTCTTTTGTATAATCATAAGCATATCTTCTCTGTGCTGTGCACTGTACTAGGCCTGGCTGAGAGCAATTGGGTTATTAATGCCAGGGATAGTTTAGTGTCACAGGAGGTAAGTAGATTAGGACAACACAAACACTTGAACTTACAAAATTTTACCTGAATTTACCATTAGCATGGACGTGATGGGATAGTGTTTACAGAAGACATGGTGGCAGAAAGGCCCAAGTTCAATCGTTCAATCAAAGGAGAAAGCATAATCCAGGAATGAGAGAAGTCCTTAAAATTATAGAAGCTTACCCCAACTTTCTCATATCCCCACATTTATTTTTTTAAGCTTTTATTTATTTACTTGAAAGGCAGGGTTACAGACAGAGGAAGAGACAGAGAGAGGTCTTCCATCCACTGGTTCATTTCCTAAATGGCCGCAACAACTGGAGCTGAGCTGATCTGAAGACTACTCTGAGTCTGCCTCACGGATGTGGGGGCCCAAGCACTTGGGTCATCCTCCACCATCTACCATGCCACAGCACCCCCACGCCCCCCACCCCCGCCCTGTGTCCCCATCTTTAAAATGATTTACTCTTTCCAACTTGCAATCCCCTAATGTCCAGAGAAGCAGTTTCAAACACTGTGTGTGGAATCTTTTAGTAACAATGCAAATAAATATTAATATGCAAAAGCAGACTATTTTCTCACTGCTTTGATTCATATTGATATTAAAAAAAATCCATTACTTTCCCTCCAAGAGATGTGTCCTAAACTATTTGGATAGTGTTGTTGGTATTCTTTTCTCCAGATTAGGCAGAAACTGTAACAGACTAAAGCAAGTGGGCCAGGTAATAATATAAAGAAAAATGATTTGTAATTCAGATAGGGCAATGAAGGTATGTTATTGTTTTATATGCTGGTAAAAAGAAAGACCAGGACTACAGAAGATCATTAAACCAAATGGGTTGAGCGATTAACACATCATAGAGGACACAAAGCTGTCCTTGGATTGATAGCTAGCACAGTGTGAACACAATAGAAGACCAGCAAATAGCAGTAATATGCCTTCCACTACTAGTTTCCTTACTAGCTTTTAAAATAAGTTTGTCAATGAAAGGAACACTTTAAAGGGCATGAAATAGACTTGTTTATCTGAATAACTTTCCCTTCTCGGTTGCCATGTCAAGGGGCATCTGTAAAATTACATTTCTTTTCTAAATAAGTGAAAAGATTTCAGTACTAATAGCTTTGCACTTCTAGTAAGCTTCATTGAGTTCAGTTTTTAAAGGCTTAATTAACTCAGTCATTTGGTTATAGCTTATGGCAGATTTCAACCTAGATGAACTTGTTAATTCTTTAATGCATCCTTTTATTCAATAAATACTTTCAGAGACCCTACTGTATCCCAGTGACTTGGCTGCTTTTGGTACTAGAAATCATTTGGGAGAGTGACAGCTTAAGGGAAACAAAAAGCCTTTGGCCCAACGTCTGTTTATACTAAAGCAGTGTCAGGTTAGGAAAGCCTGTACCCGAAGTTTCTTTCCATCTGAGAGCCCATGGTGTTTTGTAGGATTGACATGTATGCTGATGGCACCCTGGACCTGATGCTGATGATGGCTCTGACTGCCTTCAAACCGCCCGAGGAAAAACAGAAGAATATTGATTTAATCTTGAATAAAGCCAAAACCCGTTACTTCCCTGTCTTTGAGAAGGTAGGATGCAAGGACCCAGGGTGTGTTCCATCTCCTGTGCTAAACATATTCAAATATGACTTTCTGAAAAGGTAAACCGTGTTAGAGCTTTCGTGCTCAGGGATCAAAATTCAAATAAGGGGGCCAGAGTTGTGTATGGGCACCGATTCAGCTCCCTGCTAATGGCCTGGGAAAGCAATGGAAGATGGCCTAAGTAGTTGGGCCCCTACCACCCACAGGGGAGACCTGGAAGAGGCTCCTGGATCCTGTCTTCAGCCTGGCACAACCCTGGCTGTTGTGGCCGTTTCGGGAATAAACCAGTAGATGGAAGATTCTCTTTCTCTGACTTTCAAATAAATAAATAAATACAACCTTAAAATAACACAAATAGACAAAACCCCAAAACTTAAATAAAGGTTCCAGAATAAACAACAGGTTAATTTGTGGTGCTACCAACAAAATTCAATTCCAACAGAATTGAAACAAATCACGCTTCATGCAGATACACAGCATATCTGTTCTAATTTGGAGCATAAACCATTAGCCCAATGTGGGGAGCAACTCGGACTAGACTAAGTTACTGGAATTAAGACTTATTCTATGCATCTGCTCTCCCACAATATGGCGCTGGGAGAGGAGTAAACAGCTTCTACGCAGCTGCCTCCAGTTCAACCAATAAACAGCAGGACCTGCTCCTGATTGGAGGAGAGCAGCGTACTCGGCGTGTAGGTAGCAGAGTTGGGATTGGTGGAAGAGGACTATAAAGGAGGAGAGAGACAACATGCACCAGGAACATCTAAGAGGAACACCTGAGGAACATCTGAGCAGCCCCCGAGAGAGCCGGCCGGCGGTGTGCCGCTCCCCCACGGAAGTGGGGAAAGTGGCAGGGGGCACTGCCCTTCCACGGAGGTGGAAGGGACGGCAGCCAACCTGGGAAGAACCAGCAGCAAACCCGGGAAGGGCCGAGCAGACGAAAGAACAACGCAGGGTTTAGTGTCGTTCCTCCACGAAGAGGGGGAGCGACAGCCCAACGTGTCACTGCCTTGAATTCCCTATCAGATGTCCTTTTTTAGATCTAATACTGGAAGCAAATCACACCTCTGTCAAAATACAAAGGTCTTTACAGAGGTGATGTTTTTGAAGTCATTTTGGAGTGAATATTAATGAGGAATGTCCTCACAATACATCTGGTGAGGTTCTAAACCCTAAGGATAGCACAGGACAGGGTAAGGAAGATTTGGCAACATAGGACCCCATAAATAAAGGTTTTGGAGCCTTGGGAAAGAATGATTTGCTATTGACTAAACTGTGATGGAGAATTAGTACTGGATCATTTCCTGTATATCCAGGGACACTGTCCAGTGTTTTTGAAAAGCCTTCTATGCAAAATGAGTTATCATACTACAGATGTTGATTTCTCTGTGTGGTCTAATCTAGTACTTTTCAAGGCATCTAAAAATTATTTATCCAATTGAAAGGCAGAATTTTACAGCGAGAGAGGGGGGGAGGAGAGACAGGGCAGAGGGAGGAGAGGGATCGGGAGAGGGAGGGGGAGAAATCATCCGTTGGTTCACTTCCCCCATAGATGCAATGGCCAAGAGCTTTCTCTGGGTCTCCCATGTGGGTGGAAGGGGCCCAAGGACTTGGGCCATCCTCCACTATATCCCAGGCCATTAGCAGGGAGTTGGACTGGAAGTGGAGCAGCCAAGACTCCAACCAGAGCTCATATAGGATGCTGCCATTGCAGATGGCGACTTTATCTGCTACACCACAATGCCAGCCCCACAAGACATTTTACATTGTTTAGTCAAGTAATCAGTCAACATGTTTCTTATGCCTCTTAATCCAAAAAAATCTCCTTTTCTGGTCTCTCTCTTTCCCTTCTTTTTGTAATACTTTGGATTTTAAATTTTAAAATGTTTTTAAAATTAATTTATTTGAGAGACAAAAGAGGGATGGAGGGAGAGAGAGAGATAGAGAGAGAGAGAGAGAGAGAGAGAGAGAGATATCACATTGCTGATTCACTTTCCAAATGCCTGTAACAAACCCCTAGCTTGGAGCTGGGAACTCAAACCAGGTCTTTCATATGTGTGACAAGGATCTAATTACTTGAGCCGTCACCTGCTGCCTCACAGCGGCTGCATTAGCAAGAAGCTGCAGTAGGAGCCAGAGTGGAGTCTTGAACCCAGGTATTCTGATGTGGGACACAGGCTTAGACTTAACCCCTAGACCAGATTCTGGCTCTCTAACTTATTTTTAAACTCCTCTTAATTAGTCTTTGTACTTTTCTTCCTTCCTTCCCTCATTCCTTCCTTCCTTCATTTTTTCCTTCCTTTCTTCATTTTTTCCCTTTCTTTCTTTCCTTAATTCCAAATTCTTTTTAAAAAAGATTTATTTTATTTATTTGAAAGCCAGTCATAGAGAGAAGTAGACAGGGAGAGAGAGAGAAAGGGGTGTCTTCCACCTGCTGGTTCACTCCGCAAATGGCCACAATGACTGGAGCTGAGTCGATCTTAAGCCAGGAGCCAGGAGCTTCTTCCAGGTCTCCCATATGGGAGCAGAGGCCCAAGGACTTGGGCCATCTTCTACTGCTTTCCCAGACCATAGCAGAGAGCTGGATTGGAAGTGGAACAGCTGGGACTCGAACCAGTGCCCATAAGGGATGCCAGCACTGCAGGCGGTGGCTTTACCTGCTATGCCACAGTGCTGGCCCTAAGTATAATTTTACTTAGCCATTTCCAGGCTTGTAACCAGAGCCCAGTGCCAGCATTTCATCACACAAGACACCTCGATAATCACAAGCAAATTTCCAGAAAGCCTGTGCCAGTTTACACCATGTGTAAGAGTGTTTGTTTCATCCTATCCTGGTCAGTCTTACAGATTATTGTCGCTCCCCCTCTTCATGGAGGAACGACACAGGACCCTGCGCTGTTCTTTTGTCTGCTCGGCCCTCCCCGGGTTTGCTGCTGGTTCTTCCCGGGTTGGCTACCGTCCCTCCACCTCCGTGGAGGGGCGGGCCCCCTGCCACTTTCCCCACTTCCGTGGGGGAGCGGCACACCGCCGGCCGGCTCTCTCGGGGGCTGCACAGATGTTCCTTCAGATAGATGTTCCTGGTGCATGTTGTCTCTCTCCTCCTTTATAGTCCTCTTCCGCCAATCCCAACTCGGCTGCCCACACGCCGAGTACGCTGCTCTCCTCCAATCAGGAGCAGGATCAGCTCCTGGAGGTCATTACTCAAGTTGGCAAGAGGCAGCTGCGTAGAAGCTGTTTACTCCTCTCCCAGCGCCATATTGTGGGAGAGCAGATGCATAGAATAAGTCTTAATTCCAGTAACTTAGTCTAGTCCGAGTTGCTCCCCACAGATTATCTAGAAAAAAGATTCCTCAGTGAAGCTGATCTGTTTAAGAGTTCATGCTTTTGTTAAGTATTTAGTCTTTGCTTCCACTCGATATTTGTTCTTTTTATTTTTGTAGATTTTGGGAGATCATGGAGAGGATTTTCTCGTTGGCAACACGTTCAGCTGGGCAGACGTGCAACTGTTAGAAGCTATTTTAATGGTGGAAGAGCTCAATGCTTCTGCTCTTACTGACTTCCCTCTGCTGCAGGTGGTGTATTACAGAATGGACAGGAACAATGACTGAAGCAAAGTGTGCTTCCAAATCAATCTCAAAACACCTTGAGAAGAAGGGCTTTAAAATCTTTATTTTATTCATTCTGGTTATTTTCTATTGCCTACATTGTGGGATCTGTTAGGGAAAAAACCACATAAAGGGAGATAGAGATTATTTTGAGTTCTAGCATGAGCATTTACTACCAACCTATTTTCTCTGCTCTGTTTTTTCCACAATGAAGTGAGACTCTCAAGTCTGTCTTTGTTGATTCTGCCTCCACTCCTGCCAGACAGCCCTGTCTGCTTTGTGTCCCCTGATGTCCAGGCCTGCAGGCCTTCCAGAGACTGCCCAGGCCATCTGTTTGGGTGGTGCTGCTGCAGCTCTCAGACCAAATTCTGCTACTACCAGAACTTACCTGGGCCCTGTTACAATTCCTTAGGAACATTTGCTATAATATGTGACCATGAGTATTGTAGTCTAAGAATAGTATTTTTTTTCTTATTAAGAAAAGAATTAAAATACATATAGTTACATTGGACACTTGTATAAGCCAAAGGAAGAGACAGAAGAGATGGAAGAGAAGAAGGAGGAGGAGGGGGAGGAGGGGGAGGAGGGGGAGACAGAGGAGGTCAGCCAGAGGTTACTGTGTGAGACATCCTGGCCTATTATTTTGTGTTTCTCTGAAAATAGGATTATACTGAATACTGCTGTGTGGCTGCTTTTTAACTTTCTTTTCAATGATGGTTAGTATATGGACATATCAACAAATATTTTTCTGCCATATCATGTTATTTTGTTTTCAATGGTCAATAGAATCATATCTTTTTGAAACCTCAGAGCTGTATAAATACAAATGAACAGAGGAGTCTTACACCCACCACTGTCTCCCCACCTTCCTGCCCTTGCAGTCACTCTCATTGGTTTCTTGGGTGTCCTTCCTGTGTTCCTGCTTATGCTGAGATGAGAAAATACGAATGTGTGCTCTGATTCCACCTCTGCCCCACTCTCTTAACAAAACAGACAGCCGTATATATTCTGATCCTCTCCAGGACTTTGTAAAGCAAACAAAAAATGCATTCTAGAGATCTTTCCCTGTCAATATAGGGACTGTCCTCTTTGCTTTTACATAAGATATCACTTTAAATTTCTGGCTTATCTTTATGTAGGGAAGAACTATAATTTATATAACCAGTTGCCCTTTATGGAAACAGGTGACATACAATTTTTCACTTTGTTGACATTATTATAGCTATTTCTGTGCTCACATCCTTATTTATTCCCTTATAATAAATTCCTAGAACAAGAACTGATAAGTCAAAGAGGATGAATATTATAGGATTATCATTTAACTCATGCCAGCAATTATGTCACCCTTCCCAGGTAACACCAGCAAACACATATGGAGGAACTCACTCCCATTCAACACACAGAACCTGTAAACCAAAGGTCTAGGCACCCTCCCCTCATACTGTTAGGTATAAGATATAGGTCCAAAGATGACACAGAGGCAACTGCTCAAGATAGGACAGACTTTTAGTGTGGAAAGGGCAGCTGAGTGGAGTCAGAGGTGGGACTGTAGCCCGCCCGGGAGGCTGGAGTGAGTGTTTAGTCCCCTGGGCAGTGGGCAGTTGTCCTTTTTTTGCTCCTTGCCTGGGAAAGAGCCATGCAGCCTCAGAGAGACCCACGTTCCCCATGATAAAGCAGGTGGACAGACAGAAAGCCCCCTTGGCAGTTGTCAACAACCTACACCATATGGTCTTATCAGCCCAGGATGTCCCTGGCAAGGAACCATGAGAGACAGTTAGGTGGGCACAAGGTCAGGCAATGGACTACCCCAGTGTTACTTCAGGGTCATGTAGCTTCACCCAAGTACCAGGTGTGGCATTAGCCATTTATGTCCCAAATGGCTTAGCAAGTCCTAACCATGACAAGGGTCTGATTTTTCCTAAAGCTTGTGACTGCCATTGAAGTCCTGATTTTACCATTGCTCATTGCAGGCATTTAAAACGAGAGTGAGCGGCATTCCTACGGTGAAGAAGTTCCTGCAGCCTGGGAGTCAGAAGAAGCCGCCCCCAGACAGCCACTATGTGGAAGTAGTCAGGAGAGTCCTATCCATGTAACAGCAGAGGTCCCCGGTGGCTGGAGCCTGATCCGCTTGCACAGGCCACCGAGAGAGAACAGAAGCCAACTGTGGCATCTAAGAATAAAGCTCATGGGAAGGAAAAACCATGCATATAGCAAATGCAGATTAAATGCATAGAAAACCATTATGATGTGTGAGGCTTTTTTAATCTTGTCGTTTGGAGACGATTGTCTACATACAGCTTTTATGAAATCAACAACCTGTATAAATAAATAGGGGGCAGATAGAGCCCGCAGAGGGCACTGTTCTTGCAGCCTGCATCAAGATCAGTAACAACTGGGGGAGGAAGAGACCAGAGATGTGTGGGAGAAGGATCTTCCCAACACAGCACTGACTGCCCAGTGCTTGGAAAGAAAATAAAATGGGGGCCAGTGTTGTGGCACAGTGGGTTAAGGTGCCAATTGCAATGATGCAATCCATATTAGAGCACTAGTTTGAGTCCCGGTACCTCTGGTTCTGATTCAGCTCCCTGTTAATGCACCTGGGAAGGCAGCAGGAGATGGCCAAGTGCTTGGGCTCCTGCCATCCATGTGGGAGATCAGGACTCACTTCCCGGCTCCCAGTTTCAGCCTGGTCTGGCCTCAGCCATGTCATTTGGGGAGTGAACCAGCAGATGGAAGGTATCTCTCCCCTCCCACCCCACTTCATTCTGCTTTTCGCATAAATAACTCTTTTTTGACAAATGGCCAATGACCAATGGGAGGAAGATGATAGCTGGTGCTAGGAAACCCTAAGGGACAATGTGGGGAACAGCGCATGCCCAGGGAACACCATTTTGAAGCCTGAAAAAGACATTGAAAATCAAGTGATCCTCTTCCACCTGACGGAGAATCCCAAGACTGGGTTTTGCTTTATGAAACAATTCCAGGTAGCATTGTGATTAGGATATAACCAATGAATATTTCCTTACAAAAATTGACCAAAAGAGTCCCCAGCCTTGATGTACTTTCTACAGGTCACCTATCATGTCCCCAAGTCATAGAGTTTGGAGTCCAGCCCCTCACTGGGGCTCACTTAATGGGGGAAGCTGGAGCTGACTCACTGATAGAGAATCTGTCTCTGCTCTGGAGCAGGACTTCTGCCTGTGGTTTTGACAGCTCTAAACACCTGCTAGGACATCCTGTCCTCGGCTATACAATTTACCACTTTTGTGTGTGTATCCAGGGACATATGAGGGGAGGGTCTTCAAACATTTCATGGACAATGTGTATTATCTTTTAATTCCATTTTTCATGAACTTTTGGACACACCCTTGGGTCTTTATTTTTGAAATGACTTAATGACTCATCAGACTTCATGCCATTTCCTCAGGGTCACTGTGGGCTTGTCTGTTCCTATACTGTACCTGCCCTGGCTGTTCTTCCTCCTTTCTTCAGATGGTGGATTGAGCAGCAGAGTTCTGACAACGTGGGCCACACAGCATCCCCTCTCCTAGCCCATGTGGTCAGATCCCATCATGAGAAAGCCATGGCCAGTCAGCTGTTGATGGCAATAAAGACAGGAAAACACAAGAAGAGAAACTCTGCCCACTTCCACCAAAGCCAAGTGTCTGACGGTACAGAAATTAAGCAGAAAAAGAAAAAGACATTATTTTTAATGTCTAAACTGAAAAAACAATTTATTTTTGTTATACTAACTTACAATTTTCTTTGTTACATTGGTCTTGGTAAGGGCTATACATGGAAAATACAGTTCTTCCCCGACAGAAGTCCCTGGGCCCTTACACCTTGCAGTGGTGCCTCCCTCCAGTAGGCAAGTACTACATGATTCAGTTCCCAAAGCTCCAAGCCAGTTTTGCTTGTGTTCTAGGTGGTGGGTTTTAAAAACAAGCTCTAAGGCCTGACCTTAACCTGGCACTCTGATATGTTCTCAGAAAATAGTCCAAAGGCAACTGATGACAGACATAGCCAGCCAATCAGTTAAAATACATTTGTGCATCTAACCTATTGGACACCTTAGCTCAGCAACATAGCACAGGATCGAGTAATGGACACTTTTCCCCATCCTTGGCTAACAGGAGCTGTGACTCACAGCTGCCGCCTTGTGTCCTGAGAGAGTATTGTACTATGTATCACCAATCCAGGAAAAGGTCAAAATCCAAAATTTGAAGTATAGATTCTATTGAATGCTTGTCATTTTCACACAGCTGTTGTTGAAAAAAATCACAAGTAGAGACATTATAAGTTGGGACCTATTTGTATTTCTTAGTCATTTTTTGTAGTTTTCTTTGGACTCAGTGCCAGCTTCTTGGGTGGGGTCTTAGCTTCACCAGCAGAAGTAACTATGTGTGCTACGGAAAAGCAAACCTTTGCAAACCCAACAGCACAGGACAACACTCAATGACCAACTTCTACCTTCTGCTCTTCAGAGAGTCTCAGTTGTGGACAGAGAAAGAAAGGCAAGTGAAGACATCTAGCTCAAAATATCCCTGAGAATGGAGGGCTGGCGGATTGGACAGCCTTTGATCCTCCATTCCAGAAACACTGGGATGGAGACACAGTGAGTAGCCTTGGCCCCCATTTAGCACTCTGGCATGTGAGAATTTCTTGTCTCACAGGCTACAAATCTCTCCTGTTTCAGGTAAATCCTATTTCTGTTATTGTTGTTGTTTGGACCTTGCAAGTAAGTTTCTTCCTGTAGTATTATATCCAGAGGCACATTATTCAATCAGGTGCCAGGACCTGTGGAGCTGACACACAGACTCTGGCTGACCCAACAAAATATAACCATCTTTGTCTGAGAAGCCAGTTGGGAATCCTGTTCTTTCTGTCTATTCCAACCACAGCACTCTTCCTCTTCATAATTAATTAGTTCTCAGATTTATGTAACCTCTCTTATGTGCACAATTTGTACTTTTTATAGCTTATATTTAATTGTGATTTTTTAAAAAAGCTTTATCCTTTCTAAAAGGAATTTCAGGTACCAGGAAACAGGTATGTCTACGTCAGGGATCAAAAGTCTATCATGCCGAAACTACACCAAATAGGGACTGAGTTAGACAAAGGTCAAAGGTCATGAGAGCACTTTCTATGGACCAGGCACCTTTCCAGGTACTCGACATCCACTCTATGATTTAATCCTTTCAACAACTCTCCAAGAGACATCTGATCCTTCAGATTTGCACAGGGGAGGAAATTGAAGCCCTGAGAAGCCAGGGGACCTAAGTTCCTGGAGACAAAGTCAGGACCAGGGTAAGAAGCCAGGCCTACTCTTACCAGGCCCAAGGGGCCTTCCTCTGTCAGAGTTAAGGGCAAATGCATGAAAAGCACACAATTTAGGAAGTCCCAGATGCCAGGTGGGGGGAATGTAGAGGTTGAGTATTCATTATCTGGAAAGCTTGGTATTACAACTGTTTGGATTTCATATTTTTCTGATTTTGGAATATTTGTACATATGTAATGAGATATCATGGGAATGAGACCCAAGCCCCAACACGAAATTCATTTGTGCTTCATATTCACCTTTTACACATAGACTGAAGGTAATTTTATGTAATATTTCACTGCCCCTGCATTTTGACTGGAATTTTCTTTCTGTACCATCATGTCGGTGCCCAATAAATTTTGGATTTTGGATTTTTGGGTTAGAGATGCTCAGCCTGTCCTCCATCTTCTTTCCCACTGTGGTCACCAATAGCATGAAGGAATCCAGTCTTGTAGGGACTTCCTTGCTCAGCCCAACGTCCACGTGAGAACTTTTTTTTTTTTTTTTTTTTTTGACAGGCAGAGAGGACAGTGAGAGAGGCACAGAGAGAAAGGTCTTCCTTTTCCATTGGTTCACCCTCCAATGGCCGCTGCGGCCGGAGCACCGCGCTGATCTGAAGCCAGGAGCCAGGTGCTTCTCCTAGTCTCCCATGCAGGTACAGGGCCCAAGGACTTGGGTCATCCTCCACTGCACTCCTGGGCCACAGCAGAGAGCTGGACTGGAAGAGGAGCAACCGGGACAGAATCCGGCGCCCCGACTGGGACTAGAACCCCAGGGTGCTGACGCTGCAGGCAGAGGATTAGCCTATTGAGCCATGGCGCTGGCCTGAGAGCATTTTAATAGTACAGCATTTTAATAGCACCAGGCCAGTGGCCCAGAAAGGGACCTGGGGTGCTTTGCTTTCCTGGCAGTTGTTGTGGACAACCACCAGAGTCCTCGGGCAGTGGACCTGGGTGGCTCCATTCTCCCCTGCAGCATTCACAGGACCTGCCTGGTAGACTCCACAGAGTTTCCTGGTCAGACTCCTAACCACCTGAGACAGTAGCCATTCCAGGGGCTCTGGGGGCAACTGACTCACTTCTGTCATCCGCATTTTCTATGTTCACTCTTCAGTACCCTTAAATCCTTTTTCCACATCCTCTTCTGTTATAGGAGAAACAATAATACTAATAGCTACTGTTATGGAGTGCCGGCCCTGAAACTACCTTGTGCTCAGCATTTATACCTCTTACTTAATCTTCACGACCTCCACGTAAGGCTAAGTTAAGTAACTTTCCATGATCAGAGTTAAATGCTTGGAAGGAGGTTTGAGCATGGTTGGGTCTGGTTGAGGGGTGCCTGCTGTCAATCATGACAGCAGAGGAAGTGAAGGGGGAAGGAGAATCCTCCACTATGATTAGACTGCATTACAAGGCAGCTGGTACAGTGGATGTGTGCAGAGTTCTCAGGTATCACCTAAGCCGTATCACCTATTCACCAGGCTGTAAAATATAAGTAGAAGCACCTGTTATTTCTCAGGCCTCCATTTCTCCTTCACAATTGCAAAAGAATCCAATAATCTGGTTCATTCAATTGTTTTTCTTTTCAAGTCTCTGTGGTCAAATCTAAAACTATAATTTAGCTGCATGTAGTATTCTCAGAAGGCATCCCAGAGGATGGATCTATGCAGTGATTAAGCAGCCTGCCAAGTGTGAAACAAGCAGACAGAAGAGTCCCATATCTGGAAGAGATGTCAGAGAAAACTGAATCAGGCAAAGCAACAAAGGCATGATGCCAAGCTAGAAGGCTAGCTGTAGCCTCCTCTAGGGAATGGGTCTGCAAAGGGTTTTCCAAAATTATTTTCCTTAATGTCCGTAATTCTGAGCAATTTCAAAAATTCCATCTTCTGTTGAATCACAGATTATGCACATAGAGAAAACC